GGACAAAAATTGGCTAATGACCTGAATATGTAAGTCCTCCGCTTCACCCTAGACAATTATATATTGATATAAGAATATATATTATTTGTTTAAATAGATTATTAATAAAGTTTTTGAGACATCAATCTGGCCAGAGTATGGGATTTGGGTGATAAAAATTGCTTAGTACTTTGCAGAATATTCCGAAGCTATAAGTGTCAGATTTCTTACACGTTCATATTTTTGCTAAATGAGACACTATTTGTGTGAATTATTCGAATTATTCAGTTTATTCAATCGCTCAGTTTATTCGAATTATTCAATTTTAAATTCTTACCTAGCTCATTTTTTATCTTAGTATTCAACGCTCGTAATATTGAATATTTTCTGAAATTCCTGTTCATAAGGTTCAAATTCGAATTATTTGAACCTTTGATTTTTGATCAATATGTTGAATTGTAGCTGGAAGTATGAATGCAATATGAATTGTATTACGCTGAGAATGATATTAAGAGAATCGAAAAAAATTCTTAAAAGCAGATGAAATAGTCGAAAATTATCAATATTTACTAAAATACACCCGAGTCATATACTGTATATGTATCAACAATCATAAACACGCAAAAAATCGAAAAACTAAGCCGATGTTGTGCGCCCCTAACCCGCGTACAACCGTCGTAACCAACCAATTAAAATGTTACGTCCGTTCTATAAAAAAAAAAAATATATGTAACAAAAAACTTGATTTTAAAAAAATAAATAATAATATCCTACCGTAATTTTACAAATAATATCCATTGTCGAATTTTGAAACATCCATCACCAGGTTTCACACATCCACCAGGCTTCACACGTCCACCACTAAGTTTCACACATCCACCACCAGATTTCACACGTCCATCACCAAGTTTCACACGTCCACCACCAGGCTTCACACATCCACCACCAGGTTCACACATCCACCACCGAGTTTCACACGTCCACCACCGAGTTTCACACGTCCACCACCGAGCTTCACACGTCCACCACCAAGTTTCACACGTCCACCACAAGTTTCACACGTCCACTGCCAAGTTTCACCCTTCCGAGTTCCATCCAACAGGTTCCGAGATCCACTCAATGATTTTCGAGATCCACCCAATGATTTTCGAGATTCACCCAATAATTTTCGAGATCCACCCAATGATTTTCGAGATCCACCCAATGGTTTCTGAGATCCACCAATGATTTCCAAGATCCACCCAATGATTTTCGAGATCCACCCAATGATTTTCGAGATCCATCCAATGATTTTCGAGATCCACTCAAAGATTTTCGAGATCCACTCAATGGTTTCCGAGATCCACCTACAGACTTCCAAGATCGACCACCTAATGGTAGAACGACGTGTAAATTAAAATATTATGCTGATAACTCTTTCGCGTAATCACTATTATCATTACGAATTGTTCAATTTGCTGTCTTACGTATTTCGGATATTCAAATTATGTCTAGTTATTATATAATAAAATGCAATAGCATAAACCGTGTAAATAAATAAATCTATTATTTGTACAAATCTAGATCGATGTTTTGTTATTTATACCTAACGGTCGTCAAACTTTGCTCAGCGGTTCTCAAATTTTGGTTTCGAATTCTAAATTATAGTTAAAACAAAAAAAGAACAAAATAAATAACATCAGGATAAAAAAAAGACGAGAAAAACACTGTTTAAATAAACATAGCTACGGCCAATCAGATTCCAAGATCAGGTGTAACGCAAAATCAAAACAATACGTGCCGATCCCCAAATGACCAATATGAACCCGATTTGATTTCCTTATTTGGAGGCCAGGCACGTGCGACATTCATATAATGATCTACATACTGCATAAATTGTACCGTAAAACGCGATACCATCAAAAAATTTATCCACGTGATGATCGACTCGATTTGATGTAACGTAACACAATCTTGAAAATGTGTCTATCTATACAAAAATCACCTTTTTCTAAAAACCGAATGCTGATGTGCGATTTTAAATACTAACTTCAATTTTACAAAGATTTTTAACAAAAAACTTAAGAAACGCTGATACATAATAATATATTTAAATCATCTATTGCGCGAATAAAGATTTTTTTAGAGAATTTTTATTTAAATATCGTTGTATGTAAATAGATGTCCTTTTTGAAAAAATCTAGATAATGCATCCATGCACAGTGTGTCTCTATAGCAAAACTATGCTTATAATAGAAATTATATTAATGTTAGAATTAGGGTTAGCATTAGAGTAAAGTAAAATTATAAGAGAAATATATTTACTTATGTTATACAACAAGGGTTACCTAGTCAAAATTTTGAGATATTAGTAATTTTATAGTAGGGGTACAAAGTGCATGGGGCACTAACTAGTCTAGTTCTATTTTTTTTTAAAAAAACTTATCATCTAAATATTATTTTAAAAAATATATATAATGGTAATCTTTGTTAAAGACCTATACAACCAGGCTAGACCTAAAAGTTTAAAACAAAAATATAATTAGTCATGCTAAATTTTTTAAAAACATAGTAAATTTTATTTATAAACTATGCAAGCAAGTTATTTATCAAACCTATATAAGTTGTTTTTTAAAAATATTATAATATTTATTATACAAGCATTTTTTAGTAGTTTATTATTATTAGAATCAGGTTTGAAATTATAGTTAAAATTAGCATTTGCTGATAAGAGTTTACTTAGTAATTTGCATATAATATTAGTATCAAAAAATATATAAATTTTTAGTATATTTAGGAGTATTAACAAAGTAAGTAAGGGTGTGGTGACTTAGTGAAGTGGTTAAGTTGTCACGCCCCGAGTATCAAGATCTAGAGTTCAATTCCTACTGGTAATGATATTTGAAAACTAATTCTTGAATATCCTTCCAAAAGAAGAATATACGAACTTAATTGGTGCTAGTCTCTGACTGTAATTGTAGTTATACCAACTTGATTTGAAAAACAGATTAGCACCTGTTGTGTAAAGATCTCACAAGACTAATCCCAATTAGGAAAGTTACTCGCAAAGTCCTAAATATAGTATCCATATCCGAAAACCTGTACTGCAGAGAGTCATGATTGGGAATATGGAAGAATACAAGCTGGTATATATAAACATACCCCTGAATATTGTAGAATAGTTAGTGCAAACCCATGATAAATCTATATAAGGGTTATCCTAGCTATATAGAGTAGAACTATATGTTAGCTTTACAAATATATAATATGTACACAAACACAAACATTAACTAAGACTAGCCCATCTAAAACTTGAGGATAAGATGTTAAAAGGCTCTTTGAAAAAAGGGTCTGGAATGGTCTTCAATATGTTAGCTATTCCTGTAATCCAGCCAACTTATCTAACAAACTTTTATGCAGAAAAACAGTAAATAATACTCCTAATAAACTGAACCTCTACACTAATCTCCTAGACTCAATATACTTAATCGCACTACATAATCCAACTTCTATACAAAGCCTACCAACAGTCACAATTTATAGCAACACAGTATTTGAAATCTTTAAAAACAATCAACTCTCACAAATTTTGCAAGAAATAGCAATAAAGAACGCAACATATACACAACTAACATTCTATACTGATAGATCAGTTAGTAACATTACTACAGAATGATACACAATGGGTATTGGCTGGGCTCAAATAGCTAACAATACAATACTATACAGTTACTCTGCTACAATTCAACTTTGGCCTTCTTCTTACAAAGCTAAACTGCTTGCAATTCTTTCTGCAATCTGCACATATCTACGAAATAATAATATCACTACCGTATTTTTGCGTAATAATGCACATCTGCGCGTTATTTCAAGTCTATGCATGTTATTTCAGGACACAAATGGGCGATATTTTGAGTTACATATGCTATTTTCAAAAAAAAAAAATTTTCAAAATAACGCCCATGTGCATTATACCAATAGTAATAATATAATTTAAAGTTCTCCTTAATTATATTACTGTAATATTCGAATCACTTTTTCAATGCATATATAATTAAAATTACATAAGAAACTACACAAAATGCAAAACGCGATAAAAGTCTTCAAAAAAAAAAAATTTTTCACATGATAACAATTTTGACTTTTGTCACCAAGTAAAAAAGGTTTTGTCAATCAACTTACGATACTAATTGTTTGCTATTTTTGTTTCTTACATTATCATATAAAAAATCTTGTTCTGCACTTCCATTCTATAATCCTACTAACTATTCATATCCTGGTGATCAGCTTGTATGAAATTCAAGTTTGTCATCCCTAATCTCTAGTATCATAATTGTCCAACCAATGAAACGGGTTTATATAGCTAATATTGATATATTTGAAAGAGTAATTGTAATTACGCCAAAAGAAAAGCAATAGTGGTGAACAAAGAGAATACCAGTAAGCAATCTGGGAATAGCTTATATGCTTGATCGAAAAGCATTGCACGCATGTGACATGTTACTAATTTGGAAGCATCTAGGCTAGACATAAAACTTCATTGATTAATTTTTTATTGAAATATGCAGCATACATCAAATTGACATATAAACTAAGACAGGATATGGTTCCAGAAATAGCAACTATAATTGCAGGTATCACTGTCGTCAGTTGAATTCGCGATGTGTAGCATCAGCCGGTAGTCTTCCACACTGTATAAAGCAGGCTGACTTTGATATAAAGTTACAAGTTGCCACAAAATGGCAGGATTCTAGGTGGATTCACTCGATTTATGTGGAGAGGGAGGGTTGGGTGCGAATTGGTCTCTTGTAGATAATGGATACTAGTTAGGTGGTTTGCCGTGGCATGCCTGTTCTTATGCTTTCATTAACAATGGAGTTATTTTTAGCAATTACTTCATTTGTGACAAATTAAGCAGTTAATTAAATCGTACTTATCTGGTTTATACGTTCATTCATGTGGTATCAGATTATTTGCGTGTTAATTAGGTTTGATGGCTGCAGTCAAGATTCTAACCGGATTGCTTATGGCATGTCCTTACTTAGCCATATTTTCAATTTGTTGACTTTTTGTCAACTTGAAATAAAAAAAATAAAGCGTATTAAATAAATTCTTAGAATACTGTATGTACAGTGTTGAAAATTTTTACAGTAAATGATTTTAATGTTTTCATAAGAACTATTTTCTAAAAAATAATGTTTTCATAAAAAATTATTATATCAAACTTAGTCAAATTAATGTTTTCACATAGAGAACACTAATTTAAAAAAATATTCTCAATTCAGAAGTACTAGTAATATTCTTTTAAAAAAAGCATTCTCATATATTCAATAATCATGAGAATAACAGTTTGAGTAACAGTGAGAATATTTTTTTTAAAATATTAGATCATTAAAATATTCCAATTTCCAACACTGGTTATTGCAGTTTTATTTAAAAATAAAACTATATTTAGCAGTTATTTTAATTTATGATTATGTTCTTGTTTATCGCTATTTTCGAATTAGTGCGATCAATGAATTTTGTAAATCCTATGAATCGCAATTGTTAAAACAATGATAACGTTCAGAATTCATTGGATTCACAAAATTCATTGATCGCATTAATTGAAAGAGTGATAAAATAATAAAAGTATAAATTAGTAAAATTTATTCAAGTGTTGAATTACTGTTTTTTTTTTGAATTATCATAACAATATGAATAATAATACCTGCCCAGATACAAAAAGATGAAGTTATTCTATTCAATTTAAACTTGATGTAATTTCCTACGCAGAAAGTACATCAAATCGTAAGGCTTCAATTTTCGATAAGATTGATCAAAAACGTGTTCAAGAATAGAAAGCACAGAAGTTAGAATTAGAAAAAATTAAAACAACTCAAGGGTTAAGTCTCAGAAAAGCAAGAGTTCTTAGTGGTCATAGTCGTAAGCCAATGTATCCAGCTTTAGAACAAGAATTAATTAAGTTCATTAAAGAAAAGCAAGATGAAGAGCTTGCTGTTACAAACTTCTTGATTAAAAGTAAGGCGAAATAATTGGCTAAAACATTAGAACTTGGTGATATTAAAGCTTCGCATGGTTGGATTGAAAGGTTTAAGGATCGAAATAATTTAGTACAACGATCTAAAACTCAAACAGCTCAAAAATTTCCTGAGAATACACCTGTAATAGTTAGTGATTTTCTTAAAAGTTCATGTGAAACTATAAAAAAATTTGAAAAAAAATATATACTTTCATTTGATAAGATACCAATCTGGTTTGACATGCCACGAAATTCAACTGTTGACTTTCGGGGCGTGCATGAGGTCCAAGTTAAAACCACAGAGAATAACAAATTGCACTTTACTGTTGTCTTAGGTTTTTTCCTTTTTTTTTCTTTTTTTTTTTTAAAAAAAAAAAACTCTATAATAGTAATTACTGAAATATAATTGATGCATTTTGTTGTTTTAGGTTTTATTGCATCTGGATATAAACTTCCACCAATGGTCATATTTAAGTTAATGAGAATTCCCAAAAGAAA